TGCACGGTGAGTACTGTACTGCTGACCCTACTGCTGCACGGTGAGTACTGTACTGCTGGCCCTCCTGCTGCACGGTGAGTACTGTGACCCTCCTGCTGCACTGACCCTCCTGCTGCACGGTGAGTACTGTACTGCTGACCCTACTGCTGCACGGTGAGTACTGTACTGCTGACCCTCCTGCTGCACGGTGAGTACTGTACTGCTGACCCTACTGCTGCACGGTGAGTACTGTACTGCTGACCCTGCTGCTGCACGGTGAGTACTGTACTGCTGACCCTCCTGCTGCACGGTGAGTACTGTACTGCTGACCCTGCTGCTGCACGGTGAGTACTGTACTGCTGACCCTCCTGCTGCACGGTGAGTACTGTACTGCTGACCCTCCTGCTGCACGGTGAGCACTGAAGAAATGGACAGTTTGTCAGATATAAACTATGGATTTCGAAAGAGATGACAGAGAAATGTGAATTAATTAGTCAAGTGACAACACGGCCATTCGTTCCTGTACTGTAGCTGCTGGCGTTAACTTCGCTTCTCCTCCCGGACAGATGCACAACAACCTGCTGTTTCACGCTCGACGGTTGTGCTCCACGGGAACTTTCTACGTGTTGGACGATTCACCAGATTCTCACGTCGTCATGTGGCGGAACAACGTGAGTGAAAGATGTCCTTATACAGTAACTCTCACCATAAGCCAGGCGATAAATGTCCCCCCCACCCCCCGGGTCTGGATATTACACGAGCTGGATTTATAAACGCCAAGGTGATATATCCAGACACTGTAACAGACTCTACAGGTATAATTTCTACAGCTTTTGACTTCGTTGTTTGTGCTGTAGTTGAGGAGATGCCCGCTAGGTGTGTCCTGACGGCTCCACGTACGGGGAAACATCACCTGATGATTAATCCCCCAGCTTATTGTACCTTATGATTAATCCCCCAGCTTACTGTACCTGATGATTAATCCCCCAGCTTATTGTACCTGAATATTAATCCCCCAGCTTATTGTACCTGATGATTAATCCCCCAGCTTATTGTACCTGAATATTAATCCCCCAGCTTATTGTACCTGATTGTTACGAGAGTTGGGGATTTAGAATATAGTTATACGTCTACCCAGATCCCAACAGGTAACAAAAAAAAAAAAAACAAAGACAATCGGACTATAAAAGGGTAGACAAAGGATGCGAGTTTTCGTTGTGTATAATAAAGTACCATAAATCCCTAAACAAAATATTCAGCTTATAAATTACCCTTAACCAAACTTAACCTAAACATTAACAGTATATACATATTAATACAACATAAACCATTTTGAAGCAAGTGGACGTGGGGGAGGCAATACAAGATACAAGTACTTAAGTGAGGAGCTGAGATGGCTGACGAGTAAGGCTGAGTATTGTAGAAGACGGTAGGTAGTCACTGCACCGTAGGTTTAGAGGATAGATGATCCTGTGGTCACTTCCCAGAGCCAAGTCTCTCTCCTCGAATTGGAGCTCACAAAGAAGACTTGGAGGAAGTGACGCAACAACCAGGATATGGAGAAGGGAAACCCCGGAGTGTTAACTAAGACGAGTCATACTCGTGTCTCGTCCCTAGATGGCGTTGCTCGTGGTGCTGGGTAGGTAGATCAAGACAATAGATGGCGTGGTTCGTAGTGCTGGGTGGAGGGGTTCGTAACAACATGATGATTAATCCCCCAGCTTATTGCTTATTTAATCCCCCAGCTTACCTGAATATTAATTCCCCAGCTTATTGTACCTGATGATTAATCCCCTAGCTTATTGTACCTGATGATTAATCCCCCAGCTTATTGTACCTGATGATTAATCCCCCAGCTTATTGTACCTGATGATTAATCCCCCAGCTTATTGTACCTGATGATTAATCCCCCAGCTTATTGTACCTGAATATTAATCCCCCAGCTTATTGTACCTGATGATTAATCCCCCAGTTGCCTCTGAAGATGTCAGTTGCCTCTGAAGATGTCAGTTGCCTCTGAAGATGTCTTGAATAATGACGAAAGCTAAGGTGCTCCGTTGTTTCCATTTTCCCGTGACATAGTGACATGGCAGCTGCTGACGAGTACTCGACCACCTCTCACGTTCTCCAGCTTTGTCTTGCCTTGCAAGACCGACTGGAGAAGGTTGAGAAGGAGGTCCAGAGTCTCAAGGGCGAAAACTTAGCCTTGAAGCTAGTTTTAGAGGAGAAGAAAACCTTTGCCAGTGTCGTGAAGGACGGTGAAGTTGAAGTGGATTCATGGAAGGTAGTTGCTGCTAGTGCTACAAAATGCACTCTAAAAAGGCACTCAGCTGTAGACCTAAACAACAGGTTCAGCACCTTAAGTGACGAGTGTGAGGAAGGTGCTAGTAACACCACGAGTGCTACTCCCTCTGTTAGTGTGGAGAGAGGGAGTAGCGCAGGTAAGAAATCACCACACTCAGGTAAGGTCAAATGTGTTTCTGTCATGGGAGACTCGATGGTGAAGTATTTAGGTAACAATCTCTGCACTAAAGTTAGGAAGCTCGAGTGTCTCCCCGGGGCAGGGATAGGTAGAGTACTGGAGAGAGTGGAGAACGTCATTGATGACTGTGGAGACAACCCCATAGTCTTACTCAGTGCAGGAGGCAATGACGTAGGTAAGCTTACCAGTGTCGAACTGCGTAAGCTGTATAGGGAAGCTCTAGATAAGATTAGGGTGAAGGGTGGAACTCCTATTGCTTGCTCTATCCTACCTAGACGTGGTGCCAGTCGTGAATGGATGTCCCGTGCAATTGGTTTCAATTGCTGGTTGGAAGAACAGTGTAAAGAGCTGTCGACGCCATTCATTGATAGTTGGAGCCTGTACTATGGTGATGATAGTATGTATGCAAGGGATGGGGTGCATTTAAGTAGGAAGGGGGTGGCGGTGCTAGCGAAGATAGTTGACAGGGTAGTAAAGGTGGGGTTTTAATATGTCCAAATCCCATCAATGGTAAAGAGAGGAAAATACCATGTGAAAATAACAGCAGTGAAACAGAAGTAGATAATGCTGAAAATATAGTTAGTCATAATAACAAACATCAAAGTAATAAATGTAAAACAGATAGAAACGGAAGAAATATATTGAGTGTTTATTATACTAATAGTAGAAGCCTGTGTAACAAAATGGACCAGCTCAGGGCCATTGTTAGTAAAGAGAACATAGATATAATTGCAATAACGGAAACATGGAATAATTCAAACAGCAAACATTTTTTAGCAGAATTTCATATTCCAGGATATAACCTATTTAAATTTGACAGAGTAGGAAGGAGAGGGGGCGGTGTAGCAGTGTATATCAGGGTGTCATTAAAAAGCTGCAATAAATCAAACATTAAAACAAATAGCGACAATGAAAGTATTTGGGTAGAGATTGGTGAGGGCAATGAGTCTGTAGTCTTTGCTAGAGTCAATTATATATATTGCTACAAAAATCAGAAGCCACCTTGAAACATTCAACTTAATTCATTCTTCTCAGCACGGGTTCACCCAGGGACGTTCTTGTCTCACAAATTTGCTTAGCTTTTTCTCAGAAGTATATGAAGCTGTAGATAATGATAAGTCATATGATATAATTTATTTAGATTTCAGTAAAGCATTCGATAGAGTCCCTCATGAGAGATTGATAAGGAAGGTAGAAGCACATGGAATAGGTGGATCATTATTAAAATGGATTAGGTCATGGTTAACTGGTAGGAAACAAAGAGTCAGCATAAATGGATTTAAGTCAGACTGGGGTGCGGTCAAAAGCGGAGTTCCCCAGGGATCTGTATTAGGCCCTCTGCTGTTTGTTATATTCATTAATGATCTTGATTTAGGTATAACTAGTAGGATTAGTAAATTTGCAGATGATACCAAAATGGGGAGAGTGATAAATTCAGACAGTGACTTTGAACACCTTCAAAGAGATCTAGATACCTTACATGAGTGGTCAGTAGACTGGCAAATGAATTTTAATACTGATAAATGCAAGGTACTACAGATAGGGAAGACGAATACAAACGTTAAGTATAAACTAGGTAACACGGAAATATAAAACTCAGATTGTGAAAAAGATCTAGGTGTATTTGTTAGCAACGACTTGAAACCTAGAAAACAATGTATTAGCGTTCGCAACAAGGCAAACAGGATTCTTGGGTTCATATCTAGGAGTGTGAGTAACAGAACTGCTGACGTTATCTTGAAACTTTACCTAGCATTAGTGAGGCCACACATGGATTATGCGGTTCAATTCTGGTGTCCTTATTATAGAATGGACATAGATTCTTTGGAGAGAGTACAAAGAAGAATGACAAAAATGATCCATAATATTAGAAACCTTCCATATGAAGAAAGACTGAAAAGCTTAGGCTTGCATTCATTAGAGAGGCGTAGAGTTAGGGGAGATATGATAGAGGTGTTCAAGTGGGTAAGTGGGATTAACAAGGGTAAAATGGAAGATGTTCTGAAGCTCAGTAATAACGAAATAACTAGAACAAATGGCTTTAAATTAGATAAATTCCGATTCAGAAAGGATATAGGCAAGCACTGGTTTGGTAATAGAGTTGTGGATATGTGGAATAGGCTACCGAGTGCTATAGTAGGATCGGGGACGCTAGGGAGCTTCAAGACGAAGTTGGATAGGCACATGGAAGTGCTGGGATGGGTGTGAAAGGGATCTGCCCTGTATGGGCCAGTCGGCCTCCTGCAGTATCCCACTTTCTTATGTTCTTATGTTCTTACTGTACCTGATGATTAATTCCCCAGCTTATTGCACCTGAAGATTAATCCCCCAGCTTATTGCACCTGAAGATTAATCCCCCAGCTTATTGTACCTGATGATTAATTCCCCAGCTTATTGTACCTGATGATTAATTCCCCAGCTTATTGTACCTGATGATTAATTATCGTAATGCTAACCTAACCTAACTTAACCTAATTAACCAAAGGCTACCATCTGTATATTTGTTTATACGCACCCCCCCCCCTCCCGCCCACACCAGGACGTGGCTTCTCAGTTCACCGTCTATTGCCGGGAACGTGAGGTGTGCCAGCTGCAGAAGGCGCTGAAAGAGACGCCCCTGGTGGACTGGCATGGGAACCTGCACATAGGGTGTATGCCTCACTACCTGCTGGGCCCCATCAAGGAGGTCACCCACCACCTAGGACTCAGCCTCGACAGCGTCCAGTGTCACACCTTCACCTACCACCCTCACCTGGACACTCAGCCCCTCAGGTAGGTGACACACCCTCACCTGGACACTCAGCCCCTCAGGTAGGTGACACACCCTCACCTGGACACTCAGCCCCTCAGGTAGGTGACGCACCCTCACCTGGACACTCAGCCCCTCATGTAGGTGACACACCCTCACCTGTACACTCAGCCCCTCAGGTAGGTAACGCACCTTCACCTGGACACCAATGGGTAAATGGTAACTGGTAGGATAAATAGTTAATTGCCAGGTAAACAGTTGCTAGCCACACTGACGAGATATTATTAAGACGATTGACTTAGCTAAATGTGAACTGGCTGTCTGTCATATGATGGGAAGAAAACTTGATAAAGGAAGGAAGAAGAGAAAACACATCACTCACAATTAATGGTGTAGCAACTTGATATAGGAGCAGAGGGTGGTCCTGGGGCTTATGGCTCTGAGTAACCCGTCTCTCCTCTCCTCCAGGTGTAGGGCGGGGTTCTGTGTCCGTCTGCTGGGTAAAGCCGGTTTGCAGCACCTCCTCGAGACCAGCCAGTACGCTAAGGACTCGCCTCTGGAGACCATGTGGAGATTTATCCAAAAAGTGCCGTCTGTAGGCGTGTATTTGGACCAAACCGTTGCGGAGGACACGTCGGTGGAGCTGGGCGACATGTCAGCTGCTAGAAATGAGGAGGTCCCCGTGTCCGGGATTACCTCATCCACGTTTGGTGCCCTGGGCATGCTGAGGACCGAAGAGGACTACAGGGGCATGGGTCTAGCTTGTCTAGTGTCCAGGGTAACGGCGAGGCTACAGGCTAGCCAGGGCTACTTACCACACGTCATGGTGAACATCAACAACACGACCTCACGAGACTTGTTCACACACAAGTCTGGGTGGCGTCACTCTCACTTCTCTTTCATGATGTCGACGGATTTTACCAACATTAACTACTATTAGTTTCCCTCTGCAGTGTAGTGGACAATAGGCACCCCAGTTTATTTCACCTAAGTAATTTACTCAATGTAACTATGAGTGTTAGAAACGTAGACGGCAAGCTTGTCTGTGAAGCTTGTTTACGTCTGTCTCTCGTGAGTGAAGACTTGAGTAGAGACTTATCGAGGGAGAACGGAATATATCTGAAACCTCTGTTACAAACCCCGCCACCAATTGTCATGATCTACCTACCCAGCACTACGAACCACGCCATCTATTGTCCTGATCTACCTACCCAGCACCACGAGCAACGCCATCTGTTTAACAAATCCTGAGGTGGCCATTAAGAAAACCTAGATAAATTAATTAATGGTCAAAAAGATAAGATAAGTGGATTACCCTAGAAAATATCACGGCAGTGGATAACCAGAAAGTCCCGGAAACTAACCAAGTTATACCTAGGGAAATTACACTTATGAATATTGTTCTTCTGATAAGATCCTTAGATAAGGATAAGAGACTTGAAAGAGGAAGGGCGTATTACGGCATTAATATAAAGATCCGGATTAACAACCCTTAGATACTTGAAACAGGAAGGGCGTATTACGGCATTAATATAAAGATCCGGATTAACAACCTTGAGATACTTGAAACAGGAAGGGCGTATTACGGCATTAATATAAAGATCCGGATTAACAACCCTGAGATACTTGAAACAGGAAGGGCGTATTATGGCATTAATATAAAGATCCAGATTAACAACCCTGAGATACTTGAAACAGGAAGGGCGTATTACGGCATTTATATAAAGATCCGGATTAACAACCCTGAGATACTTGAAACAGGAAGGGCGTATTACGGCATTTATATAAAGATCCGGATTAACAACCCTTGATGATGGTATCCCGACTCCGCTTTTATCATATGGCCATTGTCAAGAGTTGGCCATTATTTACAAGGAATTCCCTAAACCTATCTTAAAGGTCACCCATGTCAACAGGTTGAAGGAATTCCCTATCTCTACTAACACGTCCCCTTCTGACACAAGAGCTTACCTTCTCAAGGAGTTTGCTGACGTGTTGGTTAATAAGAAATCTTTAGGATCCACACCACTCAAGCCGATGGTGGGTCCACCTATGAAGATTCATCTTAAGGATGGTGCTACACCTTTTGCCATCCACACCCCTCGTTTGATTCCTCACGCCTACAAGGAGCTAGTTAGACAAGAGCTTGACTCCATGGTTGCTCAGTGAATCATCAAACCGGCCGGAGACGAACCTTCACCTTGGTGCCACCCTCTCGTCCCCGTCGCCAAACCTCGTGGTGGAGTACGGATCACCACCAATCTGTCAAAACTTAACCAGCAAGTTTCCCGTCCAGCCCACCCTTCACCCACACCCTTCGCAGCTGTTCGAAATGTGGACCCAAAGGCGAAGTTTTTTACAACTATGGACGCCTTATGTGGTTATTGGCAGATCGAGTTGGCCGAAGAAGACCAACACTTGACCACATTCATCACACCATTTGGAAGATACCAGTATTGCAGAGGCCCCATGGGATTTGCCGCTATGGGCGATGCATTCTGTCAACGTGGCGACGCGGCCCTTCAAGGAGTCACGAATTGTGTCAAGGTGGTTGATGTTATCTTACTCCACGACGAAGACTACTGTGCCCACCTCTCCCGGATATACGAAGTTCTCACCAGATGTCGAAAGTACGGGATTACCCTCAACGCTGGCAAGTTTGTAGTCGCCGCTCCATCAGTGAACTTCTGCGGGTACACTCTCTTAGCATCAGGCATCGCAGCTGACCCGGAGAAAGTAAGTGGAATCAGGGATTTTCCAACCCCTGCCAACCTGACAGACCCCGTTCTCTTTTGGGTCTGGTCAATCAGCTGGCTGAATTCACACCTGACATCTCCGCCGCAGCCCAGCCGTTACGCCCCCTGCTGAGCCCCAGGAGGACATTCCTGTGGACCCCAGATCATCAAGAGGCCTTCCAGCGAGTCAAGCAGGCCCTCTTGAGTCCACCTGTCCTCGCCTGTTATGACCCAGCCCTACCCACCGTCCTCCAGACTGACGCCTCCAGACTCTACGGCGTTGGTTACGCCCTTCTGCAGGACCATGGCGGTGGACAACTCCGCTTAATTCAGTGTGGATCCCGGTTCCTGACCGACGCTGAGACCCGATATGCCACGATTGAGCTGGAGATGTTGGCTGTTGTCTGGGCGATGGCGAAGTGTCGCTTCTACCTGATAGGACTTCAGCACTTCACCCTCTTCACGGATCATCGCCCCCTTATACCTATAATCAATCACTACTCTTTGGATGCAGTAGAGAATCCTCGCCTTCAACGTCTGAAAGAGAAGCTCTCGCCTTATCTCTTCACGGCTGTGTGGCGTGCGGGTAAGCTGTTGTGCATCCCGGATGCCCTGTCCCGCGCCCCTGTCAGTCGCCCCACCCCAGAGGACGAGATGTTGTGTTCTACAGCTGCCGCATCCCTTAAGTCAGTAGTCTCATTGAAGGCCGTCTTCACATCAGAAGAGTCTACAGCACCGGATGCAGACAAGACCCTTGAAGATCTCCGCACCGCAGCCCGGGCCGACCCTTCCTACATCCGGCTCGTCGACTGTGTGTCTCAGGGATTTCCATCTAACCCATACGACCTTCATGAATCGCTACTCCCGTACTGGAAGATACGCTAGGACCTCTATTGTGACGGAGACCTCGTCTTGTATGGTCCACGAGTAGTCATTCCTGCTGTCCTACGCCGCCGTACCTTGACCCGCCTTCACGACAGCCATCGAGGAGTGGAGGCCACCAAGCGACGGGCGAAGCAGACTGTATTTTGGCCCGGAATCGACGCGGACATTGCAAGTACCGTCCGTGCCTGTGAGCCGTGTCAGACTCTGCAACCCAGCCAGCAACAGGAACCTTTAATGTGCGACGATAACCCTTCAAGACCCTTCGAGTCTGTGTCGGCCGACTTCTTTGCAGTTGCAGGGAAGTCCTTCCTTGTCATTGCCGACCGACTGTCTGGATGGCCTGTTGTCGTCCCCTGTGGTAGTGATACAACGGCTACTGCTACCATCCGGAGCTTCAGGCATTACTTCAGAGAAGTTGGTGTTCCCCTCCGCCTCGGGACTGATGGAGGACCCCAGTTCACCAGCCACGAGTTCCGGGACTTCATGGACCGTTGGGGAGTCCGTCATGTCGTGACCTCGCCCCACTACCCCCAGGCGAATGGACACGCTGAAGCCGCAGTCAAGACTGTGAAGCACCTGATCCATAAGGTGTCACCCTCAGGAAATATCGACTGCGAGGACTTCGATCGAGGTTTGTTGGAGTTACGCAACACCCCGAACTTCACCGGACGCTCCCCAGCCCAGGTTCTATACGGACATCATCTCAGGTCTTGTGTTCCTGCCCACCCGAAGTCTTTTTCTCAAGAGTGGCAGGCCAAGACTGAGGAATGTGACCGCCGTGCAGCAGAACGAGCGGCAGATCAGGATTCAAGATCTGGTATCTCACCGCTGGGACAAGGTTGGGGTTGTCATGGGTATTGGCCGGTCCAGGGACTACCAAGTGCGTCTTCCTAGTGGTAGAGTATGGTGGAGGAACCGTCGTTTCCTCCGACCTGTGGAGCTGCCTAGTGTTGACCCTTCCCCAGTTGAGTCCCCTAATGTTGATGTCTTTAAAGTAAATCCATCCCCACCTTGTGTTTCTGCCCCAGTACTCCGCAGGTCCGAGCGACTCAGAAACAAAAGGTCCGCTCAAGATGAAACTATGAGCGTATAGAGGGGAGGGAGTGGTATGATATGGACACAAAGTAGTACCTTCAGCTGTGTATTATTATATTACTCTTATATTACTCTTATTAATTATGTATTGTAAAGTATTGCAGAACATGTATTAATTCTATATAATATTCCATTTATTGTGCACCATGTTAGGTATATAAATTATCATATTTATACTTTATGTATTCAGCTTGTGAATGCTGGCATCTGTACAGGCCAGCGCTAGTAATACATAGATAGATGTAGAGAGAGAAGACAGAGTCCTCGTGGCGTGACCACCGGCTTCTGCGTCCTACTATATATATATC